CAAACAGTTCACGAAATGTACTATGACAACCCACTTATTGTTAGTGAAACCCGGAAGAACGTCCGGATAGGCTTGCGAACCACTACTAGGACTCCGATTGAAATATACCAAATAAAAATCTAAAAACAAACTACGTGACAACAGAAAAGGCTATGGATACAGCTGCCGGCAGGCAACCCGCCATAAGACAAAGGACTAGAGTCAAGATTCTTATTCCGAAGCACAAGACTGCGGCTAGCTTCGACCAAATGTATTTAATAAAGGAATATCAGACCAGGTGCGGAATGGGTTCAGAGCTGGGACATGCTTTGACCAGACGTTCAGTCGGTAATAAGACAAAAAGCAAGTATAAAAATGGCTAGTCGGAGAGCATAGTACGTAAATGCCGATCATTGGACAGGTAACTATCATAATTGTTACGTCGACATGATCTCTTTCGCTGTCAGCGACCGAGCCCATCAGGTAGTGTAATGTTTCGTCCCAAGTTAAATGTAAAGGTAAGTCGCATTTGGAGCACAACCGTAAAGACGCCAAGTGACTAATTTACTCACGATTAACCATACTTAGCATATTACAGAATCATCCAGGATACCAATCAACGAACAACTGTGACGGCGTTATATGAATTTTAAGAAGATTTGGGTTGCAATGCAATAAGGCCTAAAATATGTAATACAAAACGGCAGCGTGGCTGCAGTAAATAAATTATACAGTAGCTGCACGAAATAAATTCAGGACAAAAGGAGAAACCATGACGCCCATTTCTGAATAATTATTTAATGGAACTCTTTCATTCGCAAACGCAGTTCGACAAAACAGCGAAAAACTTTTCTTTCAACCTTTTCGCCAGATTAAATAGCCGATTTGGGTCAACTGACTGATATAGAATAAATTCTTTAATTTTGCGAAAACATACTCAAATGCGGTGCCTTTCGAACTTCTTTGGGTTACAAGGTAAACGGCCAGTCATCAATTGACCAGTAACATTTCTTAACAAACGCAACGTACAGCAGTGTATACCCCATGAGATCGTGTACCTTAAGCCCATCTCAGCAGCCTTTACTGATAGTTATTTAAGACTGTACAATTCAAGGCTCGGGGAGAAAATGAGGGTCGCTCAAATGTTGTCTCCTTGAATGCGTTGACATTTTGTTATTGGCTAGAGATTGGTATACCTAATTTCTATGGCCGGTGTTAGTTTCGCATCGTTTGCTGGCCCGTCAGGCCGATAAATCTTTATAAAATTTGTATATGTATGTACATTAGAAGGGTTACAAGAAGTGCACCTAATGGACCTGTAAATATAGTGTTTGCATATTTACAGCCATTCATGGACGTTCTGAGCCCGTGAAAGTCACAACAACACAATTGCTGTTTACCCCAAATCGGTTTGCAAGGATTAGGCTCAATGAAACGTTTCGCCATCCGAACAATTATGCCGCTGTTTTAGTAGCTCAAACTATCGGAAGTACTGGCATCGGACGGTTTTAGACCATGCTGGTATCTGCCTGACAAGAGTTTAACGACTTTCGGTCTCTGACTGACAAGCTAAGCAAGCAGATGGATAAACGAACGGTTTAAACTATATTTCAGACCGTAAAAGATGGGCCTGAGGCAACTATTTTGTCCTCTGAAAAGAAGCGGCAAGGGTTCGCACGTACTTATTAGTGCTTGAAATGCAAATGGGAAGAGTGCACTAGTCCTTGCACTCTAATTTGCATTTATATTAGATTTATACTCGGACTAAGTTGGAAATCAGGAAAAATGACTAATATGACTGTGGAGGCTTTATAGGATAAGATGGAATTGCGCGATTGCCACTGTGAATAGAAAAGTAAAATAAAATCTCGAATAGTACTACAATCAAAAGGATTGAGATGAGCCAGTCAGGGAAAGGAAAGGAGAAAGGAAAATAATGACGACTTATAAATCGGTCTAATGAGATAAGAATGAAATCGTGTGCGTTATGCATTTATACCAGAAAATGTTCAGTAGGAAGGTCACAGTTTTATCGCGTTGCGGGACAGTCTGACAGCAGCCAGCCGACATCTGTTACAATGGTTAAATCAAACGTTACAAGGGATGATTTCAGGCAACCATGATAAGAGTTGTCATACTGATGATTCCAGGTGCGGCATCTTTAAGAATACCAGTCCACGTTGGCATGGAAAGAGCTGTTACTTAATTATTCCTCTAATTTGTAAACCACATCTGCTAGGAGTAGTGCACCGAAAGTTGAAAGTTAATGTCTGTCTACTTAATAATGGAGATCATGGCTCCAAAGGACACAAAGCTTCAAGCGCCATACTTTATGGCTTTTCGTGTTATAAGGCGGTCGAAAACAGTAATTCTGCGACTTCCACTTAAAAAAAAGTTTATTTCTCAGTCTAATTTAAAAAGTAAAATCTAAAAGACCTACTGAATACATAAAACAAAAAACTCTCAGCAAAGAGGTGAAAATGGCGAGGCCTAATGATACCCTTTGTACTTTTTAGCTGAGTACATACCAGGACAATCAAATGCCTAACTTTATGCCCGATAACTTGTTCCTAGATGCTTGAAGCGCAGAGGCGTATGAAAATAGGGCTATCAGATGCCCAGTTCCGAAGCACTAGCGCACCGAAGGCCACTCTGTGGACGCAAATGTAGACCTGTTGGTAAAACTAGTCCGATAAAATTGTCTACTGACTATACATTATAAGTAACGTGGCCTGATGTGAAGGAATCTACGCTTATTGATTTAAATCAAAAGAATTTCTACAATTAACTTTGCCAATCAGTAGAATGAGAAAACAAAAACGCACCGCTCCGTAGTGGATTGCAGTCTCCGGTTTGTTATATCCCATAAGCAAGGTATTTAATATGTCCTGATGTTCCACAAGATACTGTGCCATTGGATTGAAAGAGCGGGCAGGCCTTCGTAAAATGTGTCCACACAACTCGACAACTTGTTTACAGCTCTGAGGAATATGTAAAATATGTGTCATATACCTCAAATTCTATAGCATCCAAATGGGAAAGTAAAAGCGGGAGCATATCGCGATTGATCATTTCTTGCGTAACATCTGATATGATTTCACTTATGCGAGCCCGCTCGTTGCTTGTGAAATCAATATCTTTGTCTTTTCCCGAAACACGAGTATCAGGCCTTTCTGTCAGATTCTCTCGCAGGGTATTGAGTGCTTTCGCGATTTCATCCACAGCCTTACGCCTGTCTTTGTCGTTTTTATTCGGATTGTCAAGAACCTAGAATATGCTGAAATACGAACAATTATTTGAAGTTACGGTTAAGTTATCATAAATCGATATTATACATTCTCGAGGTTGCTTATGTTTGTTAAATATCGGCATTTTTGCAAGCCTCAGGATTTCTTTAAATTAAACTTTACACTAAAAGAAAGTAACAAACGAAGAAAGGCCGACTGGACGGCGATCGTAGGTACAATCAGCACCAAAACCCTCGGGAACACCAGATGACGGCGCTAACCAGCAGGTTAGTTAAAACACGGCCTCGCATATCTCAATTTCCTATAGGTTTAGGTAGTACGTACTGAAATTGAAATCAATTACGTTAGGTATCTACAGGCTTTCAGTTAAAAATGAATGAATCCATTTCTTTCCAGACAAAATAAGCTATGCTCTTTTTCTTCCTATACTGTCAGGTACAATGAGGGAGACACGAGTGATGGAACAAAGGCTTTATCCTGTGATCATGTCTCCTTCTTTGCGACTACTGCCTGAAACACGTCTTTTCGCTTCAGTTGGCATATTTTGGAAGGAACTCTGTATGTACGGAACCAGTGTATTACATTAAGCTGCATTATAAGTGTCGAAAATTGTGCACTTCTAGCTTGCTCCACAATACGGTTTGGTGACTTCGTTGACTGATAAATAAGTTGTTAATAGCCTGTTTTTTCATAACTGCCAACGATTCTACTGCATATTTTTTAACCCTCAAACTCAGCAGGATTTCGTGGCCTATGCTGCAAAGGCTAGATAGACTCAAGCCTTTTCTCCTACGTGATAGGCAATACAGAGGAAATATGACC